CCAACCTCCCTCCTTGTTTCTCCCTTTTCCTGCCCCGGAGCCTGTGTGATAAAGATTAATTTGCTATTTCTGGGCCTGTGACATTTTTCAGAGCCTCCTGCTGGCTGCTGCCTCCATGCCAAGCCTGGCTGGGCTCCAGCCAACGGGATTAGCAAGGAGGGGCAAGGGAATATGGTGCTTGCCATGGAGCGGGGAAAGGAGCAGGGGACTCTTAGAGCAGGTTATTATGCACATAGGATGACTGACTGAAAGTGTACCTGGGTACCGTGTGTGGAGATCCTGGGCCTTAGTTTGGAGGGTAGGAGGCATAAGTGATAACGGCTGCATGCAAGACTCGTCCCCTGGGGCACCCCAAGGGAAGATGTATCCTGGATCCTTTAATTATGGCTTCAGTGAGCTAAAGGATTTAGCATTTGGAATTTTGTCTTCAGAATCAAAGTACTTCTGCCTCTTGATTTAAATTTTTTAACCACTCCAGCTTTCCTGGGCATCCAGATGCCTCTCCACATATTTCTAATAAGATAGTAATGAGGAGGCCAGAAGGAACACATTGCTTCTGATGAGGTCTCCCAAGAACCACACAGAGTGGAACTAAAGAAAGATAGCTTCTTCTTCGCAGCCCATTTTAGACTTATTTCCTGAGAAGAAGGTGGGGAGGGATGGTTGCTTCTTGTCACTGGATGATACTCTGCTCTTTTCCTACTGAATCTATCATTGGCACCTAATACATTCCTGTGCTCCATCCCTTACTCCAAATCCAACTCAGCAAACAAGCACAAACCCTGGATTGAAGCTGAGTATCAAGGCATCGTCATGGAGAATGACAACACAGTCTTGCTCAACCCACCGCTATTTGCACTGGACAAAGATGCTCCACTGCGCTATGCAGGTAGGTGGGTAACAGCTTTGGGAAGGGTGGGAGGCAAGGAGAGACCTCTCAAGAGGCAGAGACAGGGTGACATTCATCCCTGTGCTAGATTCTAGCTCTCTTCAGGAAACAATCACTTCCAAACCTCATTCTGGAGGAGGTCACCAGTGATGTCTGGAGGCAATTTGGGCACAGCTTGATTTAGGATGCTGTGAGCTATATCCCTTAGGGAGAGAAACTAAGGGTGGAGCCAGCTACTTTTTTGACGCAGTTCTGCTATTTCCAAAGATCACATCCACAGCTCTGTGTCTGTAGAGCACTGGAGAAAGCTGGTAGGGCATATTTCATTGGCAGTGCTACATCCTCTCCCCAGTAAGCACAAATCCCTGAAACTACAGACGAGGCTTTATGAGGGTTGTATTCCTGGTGCTTGTTAGGACATGCCTGGAGCTTCCTCATGCATCCTTCCTCAGGTCTGGGAGATGAAAGGTGGTCCCTGTGAGCTGAACTTTAGGATTTATGTGACCCTATCTGCGGTTCCCTGCGGTACTGTGCGCATCCTGATTAGAGGTAGATGAGACATCATGTATCTTCGTGCTTTGGCTGTCTCTCTGCAATATATGGCCTGCCTTGCCTCCCTGAGGTATGCAGAGAAATAAGGTGCTCCCTAACTACTGTGGCTGTGTAGCACTGATAAATCTAGCTTGAGTCTTTCAACTTCTAATCTTTCTTGATGCTGGTCAAGACTCCTTGCCGTCAGAGTAGCCTCCAGTACGGGGCAATCTACACCATTAATGGCAGGAGGACTCCTAGGGAATCAAAAACTGCTCAAAATGACAGATGATAATGAGGGAGAAAGGAGAATGTAACTTAGGGATAAAATATGGGAGAGGGAAGCAAGGGGGTATAATGCGCTCTCCTCTGTCCTCAGTCTTTTTCTTTCTCCTGTTCCTCTCTGCCTGTGTGGTTACCAGGTGAAATCTGTGGCTTCAGGATCCATGGAGCAGGGGTACCTTTTGAAGCTGTGATCCTGGACAAAGCCACAGGTGAGGGGTTGATCCGGGCCAAGGAACCGGTGGATTGTGAAGCACATAAGGAGCACACATTCACCATCCAGGCTTATGACTGCGGAGAGGGACCTGATGGAGCAAATACCAAGAAATCACACAAGTAAGTCCATGCAGTCGTTGTTGCATGTTACAAAATGTGATCTGTCACAGAAATACAGCTGAAAATTGCTGTTGAAACACTTCCTTCAGCCAGAAGTATTTTTCTCTAGCCTTGATACTGTAACTCAATGTATTGCTAAGAATCAAAGAGAAATGTTCACTGCCTGAGTCACAGGAATGAATACACTAGAAATGAGGGATGCTTAACAGCTGTGTCTCAGGGTGGTGTTTTATGTTGCTGCATACAGGCAGGTGGTCCAGATTATGTTATCATTCCTTTTGCTCTTTCTTTGGGGTGGAAACCCATTGTCCAAACTGCTGTGTGCCAACATTGCTGTGTTGAAACCAAGGTCTCTTTCCTTGTCCTTGCTTTTGACATCTGGAAATCAGTCTGGTCCACTTCAGGGGAGTGACTTACACTGAGATTTAGGCTCCTAATCAGGCGCTCAGTTCTTATTGTTGTCTTCCTATATCAGGGCCACGGTGCATGTTCGAGTAAATGATGTGAATGAGTTTGCTCCTGTCTTTGTGGAAAAGTTGTATCGTGTGGCAGTGACTGAGGGAAAGCTGTATGACCGCATCTTGCGTGTGGAGGCCATTGATGGAGACTGCTCACCACAGTACAGCCAAATCTGCTACTATGAGATCCTGACCCCCAATATTCCCTTTCTGATTGACAATGACGGTAAGGATCTGCACATACCATCAGCATGTCACTCCCTCTTTCCTGCTTTGTTCCCTCCTTGCCAGTCCCATTTGCTGGTGGAGCTGCACTGTATGAATTTTCCAGCACTGCTGATTTCTCTTTCCTGGTGCAGAGCTGCAGCAGCCATTTTGTGGGATGCTATAGCTTGTTACAGAGTGGCACTGGGTGTGGGGGACTCAACCCCTTTTTTGGTTGTTTTTGTAGTTGATCAAAAGTAAGAGTGGTTTCTAGAAGAAACGTCTTTGAGGAGACTGTCTTTCCTTTCCCTTGATCTCTTTGTTTTGCTAACCAGGGAACATTGAGAACACGGAGAAGCTGCAGTACAGTGGAGATCGTCTCTACAAATTCACAGTGACGGCCTATGACTGTGGAAAGAAGCGGGCTTCTGATGATGCTGAAGTGGAAATCCAGGTGAAACCCACCTGCAAGCCCAGCTGGCAGGGTATGAAACATCCAAACACAGTTATGTCTTCCTTTTGCTTTTGCTGAATTACTACTCAGTCCTGCTTACTGGAAATGGTTTTTTTTTATATATATATATATTTGTATATAATATGTATAAAAATTTGTATGCACATATATATGGTTAAATTCTGGCACCAACCCATCAGTCCCATCTAAGGGGATGCAGCAGACATCCAAGTCTCTTGCAAAGCCACTGCAAGGCAATTCTAACATTGGAAAATCATTTCTTGGATTACTGTGAACTACTATGTCTTTGATAAGGCTTGTAGACTGTATTCTATGTAGATAGTTTTTGTTGCTGTTTAACTGGAGTATCTTTGGCTTTTCTAGAGGTGCTGTGTGCCTACAGGTTCACTGTAGTCAATAGAATTAAGGGGAAATCCAACACAGCTAAATATCTGCTCTGACTGATAAGGGGTTGATAATCCAAGGAGTGATGCTACAGCAGTACTAGCTATAGAAGATGAGAATTTGGACTCTTTGTGCTTCTAGGAAATCTTCCCTTGCACAGATGCCAGCTGCATAAAGTTTACTTTTCAAAGCAGAATTGGCCAAAAATCTCTGTTTCTGGGCTAGTCCATAGATGTCCACTTGTGCGTGTGCTAAATGTTCTGGCCTTGGGTCCTTGGCAGGACCTAATCCCTCTCTTTCTCTCACTCTTCTTTGTTAGGCTGGAACAAGAGGATTGAGTACACACCAGGTGCAGGCAGTCTTGCGCTCTTCCCCAACATTCACCTGGAGACCTGCGATGAGCCCCTGTGGAACATCCAGGCCACGGTGGAGCTGCAGACAAACCATGTGGCCAAGGGCTGTGACCGGGATAACTACTCTGAGAAGTCACTACGCAAACTCTGTGGTGAATTGATTTTTTTCCTGGGCCAAGGACAGCTTCCCCTTCCTGTGGAGGGGTTCACAGTGGTAGCTCTGTGCCTGATGCAGCAGAGATGCAGGGGGACACGTTCCTCACATCTGCTGTGGTCAGTGAGGCTGACCTAGCTTGCATGCTGCGTTGAGGGGCAGTGAGCACCCTGTCTGCATTTACAAGGGGCCCCCTGTGCTTTCCTTTGTGGGAAGCCAGACGTTTCTGTGCATTGCCCCATTATGCAGAGTCTGTGGGACCTCCCTCAACATGAATGGAAGAGTCACCATCCTCCTCCAGATAGAAGAAAGCCTATAGGCAACTCCTCCTTTCCCTGTGCTCTGGGACATTACAACGAGCCCTCTAGCACCCTCTTTGTCTGTTCCCCAGTTCCCAGGCTCCTTATTCTCCTGTGCTGACATTCCTGACTCCTTCCATTCTTGGTAGGTGCTGCCTCAGGAGAGATTGACCTGCTGCCAGTGCCCAGCCCCACGGCAAACTGGACTGCCCGGCTCTCAGTGCACTACAGCCAGGACAGCAGCCTCATCTACTGGTTCAATGGCAGCCAGGCTGCCCAGGTGCCTGTGACGAACGGGCTGAACGCCCGCGAGGGGCTGAGCGACCACTTCACCCTGTCCGTATGGATGAAGCATGCTGTGGTGCCTGGTAAAGGCAGGCGGGAAGAGGAGATGGTGATCTGCAGTACAGTGCAGAGCGGTGAGTGGGGGTGGTGACACTTCTGCCTATAACTTGTTAGAAGGGATTGTCCCTGCAGGTGGAAATCTCTGGGTTCCAGAGCAGGACCTGAGCAGGGGTCCCTCCTTAGGAACATATCTTTTTCAGGTGTGACATTTTCTGGGAGCAGTCAAGCCTGCTGTGAGCACATGGTGCTGAGTGACAGTTGTGCAGGCTAGCATGTGCTTCTGGGCTTTGGCTAGCGAGTCTGCTCTGAGGTGTGATACCTAACTCCCTGTGCTTGTCCCCGGCAGAGGACGGCTACTCGCATTACTCTCTGTCTGTGCATGGCTGCCGGATCGCTTTCCTCTACTGGCCATTGCTGGAAAGTGCGAGGCCTGTGAAGTTCCTCTGGAAGCTTGAGCAGGTGAGGAAGCGTTTGCCTCCTCCCTGTGTCACTTCTCCTTCTGCTCTTTGCTGATCCCTTCCTCTGCTGTCTGATGCAGGTCTGTGATGATGAATGGCACCATTATGCCCTCAACCTGGAGTTCCCCACTGTCACACTCTACGTGGATGGTGTCTCTTATGACCCTGCCCTTATCCACGACAACGGCCTCATTCACCCTCCGCGGCAGGAACCCTCACTCATGATTGGAGCCTGCTGGACCGGTGCGTACCCACTCCCTGAACCGTGCTCTTCCCATGTAGGAAATGAGTGGAGGGAGAGCCAGAAGAGGTGGCAGAAACACCACCCAGTACTAAATGACACATTGCAGCCATCCTGCCTCCTTGGCACCAAGGCCAGTGTGGATCCTTCCTTCCTTACAGAGCAAACCAGCAGGCTGCAGTAATAATGGCTTGGGTACGAGTGTCAATGGCAGATTCATGGACAGCATCAGTAGAACATGTGACAGATAACCAGTTTTCAGGCAGAGGAGGGTTGAAACTCTGTATCTCATTCAGGCATTGGCTTTTGTCATGGTTTAACACACTCTGCTAGCAGCAAACACCACACTGCCTCTTGCTCACCCTCACCCCTCCTGGGGATGGGGGAGGGAATTAAAGGGGTAAAGGGAGAAGAGACTCGTCAGTTGAGATAAAAACAACTTAATAACAAAACTACAATAAAACTGAGAATAATAATGATAATAATAACGATAATAGCAACATGTACAAATATACAAATGAGGGATACACAGTGTAACTGCTCACCACCCAATGACCAAGGCTCAGCCCATTACCAGCTAATGATCCCAGAGCAAAAAGAGTCCTGAAACCACAATCCCAGAAAAGAGATAAGAGCCCAAGCATCTGAGGGACCAAGAGCTGACCAAGAGAGCAAGAGACAACCCTGAGAGAGAGGGAGGTGGCGCAGAGAGAGAGAGAGAGAGAACTTCCAGACAGACTCTCACCTATATACTGAACATGATGTGCAGGATATGGAATAGACTATTGGCCAATTTGTGTCTCATTGGGAAAGGAGAAAAAAAAAACCCTATACTTTCTCGTTTGAATCAGTTACAGTCTCACCATTCCCTTCCTGAGAGGGACTCTGCTCCCTTTCATCTGTGATGTGCTGTTCCTAGGTTGAAGGGTGCACTGCTTGGCACATGCTGTTCTTTTGGACTCGCTTATATGGGCACTTGTACAGATACTTGCCTGGTCCTGTAACTGCCTTCTTCCAATGCCTTATTGCTTGTCTGAATGTTCTCCTTTTGCAGAGGAGAAAAACAAAGAGAAAATCAAAGGAAATGAGAACTCCACTGATACTCTACAAGGTAGGAAAAAGAAAGAAGATAGCTCTCTTCCCCTCTTCACCATGCATGATTATCACTTCTTGCATGGTGACTTCCTCATACAGCTCCCTCAATCCTGTCCTGCCACCTCCCATCATCTTGGGAGGAAAACCCTTATTTGGCATACTGGTCCTTGATACCTTGATATCTGTAGAGCATGAAAGGCTAATAGGAGGACTACAGCCTGCTTTGAGAGATGGAGTATGCTTTTCATGTAGAGAAAGAGTCCTCATGCTTGATCGTTAAAGTAGGTCTCTGAAGAGCAAAATAGCCATTAGAGACATCAGGAGATGTCACCTCATCCCTAACTACCTATGGAATGTATAGTTTCTTTTAAAAGCCCTCACAAGAAGCCAAGTGAGAAGGGGACAAGAAATTGTTTCCATCTGGCATTCAGTGGTTTGGCAGAAACTTCTCTATGCTACCCAACATTCACTGCCCTAGTCTTTCTGTTGGTCTGTTCTTCTTGCTTTCCCTCGTCTGGAATTCCAAAAATTGTCATCTCCTTACTTCAGCATCCCCCATCTTTTTCTTGTAATTGCTTTTCCATGTCCTGTGCACCCCTCTGTCTCCACCTCCCTTAACATCTGTATGTCGCTCACGCTGTTGCTTTTGTTGTTTTTGGTCTCCCATGCCCTGTGCACTCCTCTCTCTACCTCCTTTAACATCTGTATGTCCCTCACACTGTTGCTTTTGTTGTCTTTGCTCTCCTCCTCACCGTGTCTCTCACACCCTCCATCTCCCATGTTTCCCTCAGGAGATCCTCTGTCGATCCACCACTACTTCCATGGTTACTTGGCTGGCTTCACTGTGCGCCCTGGTAGCTTGGAGGGCCGGGAGGTTATTGAATGCCTGTATGCCTGCCGTGAGGGTCTTGATTACAGTGACTTCGACAGTCTGGGCAAAGGGATGAAGGTATGCCCATCTGTCTAGTTTGCATGGGTCTCCAACCCCAGCCTTGCTTCCCAGGACTTTGCCTGCTCCCACACCTCAGACAATTCCCCACCTTTCTCCTTTGTGTCTCTCTTAGCCCAGACTCCTGGCATTTGCCGAGGAACCCTGAGTATTTTCTTCACTTCCACCTGTAGGTTCATGTGAACCCCTCTCAGTCCCTGCTCACCTTGGAGGGCGATGATGTGGAAACCTTCAACCATGCAATCCAGCATGTGGCTTACATGAATTCCTTGCGCTTTGCTACCCCTGGAGTCCGGCCACTCCGGCTTACCACTACCGTCAAGTGAGTGGACAAAGCAGCACCTCTGGCTAAGTTCAGCAAGAGGATTACCTCTCTTTTGACTAAAATTACACTTCCACACCTTGTAGTTTAATTCTAATTGGTGGTCTCAAAATGGTAAGAGTCTTCCTGAAAATAAATATTAAAGTATCCAATCTCCAAATGAATACTGTAGTACTGGGTCCTGGGGTCCTGGGCCAGCAGCAGAACTTCACTCATGGTGTTCCAGGCATGTGGGCTTGTTTTAATTTTCTCTATGGTGTGTGGATGTGACCACGTCACCTGAAACCCAGTGATGTCATTCCTACCACACCTCTCTGTTTTGCGCAGCAGGCTACAGGGAAGCTTTAGGAAGACTACCAGAAGAAGGATGTTCCCTTCAGTGGCAGTAATGGCCAGGAGGTGTTCTTTTACAGCATCATCACTGGAAGCTTGGGCCAACTGATACTTTCTACTTCTGTCCTTCAGGTGCTTCAGTGAAGAGTCCTGTGTCTCCATTTCTGATGTGGAAGGTTATGTTGTTGTGCTACAGCCTGATGCCCCCCAGATCCTGCTGAGTGGCAATGCCCACTTTGCTCATCCTGCATCAGACTTTGAGGCTGCTGATGGGGTCCCCTTGTTCCCCAATCTCCAGATCACCTGCTCTATTTCTCACCAAGTGGAGACCAAGAAGGATGAGAATTGGCACGGTACCGGTGAGTGGAGTACAGGGCGAGGTATAAGAGATAAACTGGAAAGACCTGCAAGTGTTGCTATCCTGCAGAGCAAGTAGAGTCCCTTGTTACACCCAAAATAGGAGAGTTTACAAATATAGGAGTAAAGCACATTGTCAGTGTGCAGTCTAATCAGTTCGTATCCCTTTCTGCTCTTCCCTGTACTTTTTCTGTCCACTCGGTTCCATTGCCCCACTCTCTCCTCCTTCTTTTCCAGGCTGCTCATTTCTAATTCTTTTTACATTTTACTTTCATTTCCCTTTATGGAATCCAGCACTGCATCGATGTCCTGCCTGTTAACCTCTACACTCCTGCACTTAGTCTCCTCCTGCTTCCTTCTCTCCTGCTTTTCTTATTTCTCACCCCTTTCCATCTTTTCCTGCATCACTTATTCCTGTGAATTCCTCAGTTAGTTTCCTCACAACCTATAATATCTTGTCCCTCAATTTCTCTCTATCCTCCTCAGATTACTTCTCTGCACTCTGTGTTCCACATGTCTTTTCACTTCTTTCATATCTTTTCTCGTAATGGGATTTTTTGTTCATAGTTTTCTTTTTAGCAGCTTTGCCTTTCCTCATACAATTATGAGTCTCTTGACTTAGAGCAGGTTGGTCTTAGCCCTGCTGAAAGCAGTTAGTTATTGAATGTGGTTGCCATTTTAAAGAAGATAAGATCTCGACCATGGTAACCAGCAGTTACAAGACAGGGAAAAGCTTTGAAAAGCACCCAGGGTCTGGGAATGTGTGATAGAGTTGTTCCTAATTTGCACGTTGTAATTGTCAACAGAGTCCTTACATCCAAGATGTGTTACCATGAACCACTCTGATAATAGTATGTTGTTCTAAAATACAGTGACTTTATTATGTGCATAAGTAATGTCATTAGAACTAAGGGGACTCCTCCAGCAAGTAATTAGACTGACAGTGATTTTACTCAAGGTACGTGCTAGCCAAAGAGAAGTCATTACGTATGATGTGAGCAGTTTTAAGTAAGTGGGTACCAGTCTAAGTAACTCTTGCCTTCACTGATGGCTGGGTGGCTTTCTGTCTGTGTCTTCTGTTTGCATCTCAGTGACAGACACACGAATGTCAGATGAGATTGTGCACAACCTGGATGGGTGTGAGATCTCATTGGTAGGAGATGACTTGGACCCAGAAAGAGAGTATCTGCTCTTGGATAGGGCATTGCTGCAGCAGAGGGGCCTGGAGCTTGTCAACACCTCTGCCTACCTGACCATCACAGGTATGTCCTCTCCTTGGCCACAGCTGTCTAAGCACGCATCTCTCACTGCCTGTCAGTCATCACTGGGAGAAGCATTTAACCTGATATTAGCGATGCGTTGGTGTACCTTGTGAGACTCCAAGATGTAACCATTTGTTGAACTCCTGGCTTTTCAAAGTTCCAGGCCATTTCCTTGGGGAGGTGGCTCCTCCTACAGCACACAGCATAGTGTCTGAGCTCTGACCCAAGCTTCTGTCATTCCTCCTGACTTTTCCTCGTTGCCCTTGAGGTTTGGTGTTCTCAGATGCCAGCAGCGTTTTGCATGACATGACTGGGGGACAGCACAACCTACAGGTTGTGGACTCCACTATTGTACCCTCCAGAACTTAACAGTGCTGTTATTCTTGATTCTTCGTTCCCTTCCTTGTGTTTTAGCAAGGCAAGCAGGGATTTCATCAGGTCCTTTGAAGCCAGCTTCAGCTCTGCTCCATTCCCAAAATTAATAACCCAGAATTGCCTTGGATTCCTCTATAGCTCCCAATTGCTACAGGGTTATGATGCCAGATGACTTTGAACTTCCCCAGTCCACACCAATTCTCTCTTCTTGTCTCAGGTGTGGAGAGCATTGCAGTTTATGAGGAAATACTACATCAGGTCTCATACCACATCAACCATGGTGCTGCTCTTTATGAAAGGAAGTTTCACCTGTCCTGCACTGAGATGAATGGACGCTACTCCAGCAATGAGTTTACTGTTGAGGTACAAGATCAATACGTACACATACAGGCGCTTGTGCGTGGATGGGGAGGACGTGGTGGACAGGAATGCACACAATGTAGAACATATTGCAGTGAGAACAGGGCTGAGTCTCTCTCACTTTGGTCTTTCTGCAGGTGAATGTCCTCCACAACATGAACCGAGCTGCTCATCCTAACCACATTCTGAGTTCCCAGCAGTTCATGCACCGAGACCATCATTTACCTGCAGAGCTATCTGGGCATAACTTGGCAAGCATCCATAACAATCCAGGCATGTAACACTACCTTTTGGATTTTCTTTTAGGTCAGGATGCTGATTTTCTGATATCCTGCTAGAACCTGTAGCAGAGGATTCCTTTCAGGTTCCCTATACCCATCTTATTGAGTTCTCATTATATGGTCCTGTCCCATTCTTCATTAGCAAATTGACTACGGTCTGTGTCAAATCGTGGTTTAGAGTTTGGTGCAACAATCCTCCTCTTTCAGTGTACTGTTTTCTTGATGTGGAAGCAGTTTGAAATCTCTACCTGAGAAGGTCTAAAAAGAACAACTGCAAGCTGGTACTATTTAATGAGTGCACATTGCAAAGGTGCTTTGTGGGCTTGGGTAATATAATTTCAGAAAGAAGCTTCAACAGCAGGAGAGAAACAAGAGAATAAAAGACTGCCACTGCTCTAAAAAAAGAGATGGGAGTAGGTGGCGATCAGGAAGGCAGAAAAATACAGGAGATAGCACCATGCAGACAAGAGGAGGATTCTTGCCCCCAAAACAGAGGACAGAGCAGCCTGAAATCTAGACGAGAGGTTAGAGCTGTGGGTTTGTCCTGGCAGCCCCATGCTGTAAGCATGACCTCAGCCTGAGTGGCTCCTCCTAGGCTGTGAAAGCTCTAGGACTGCTACACAGAACCCTGTGTTGGCTCTGGCCCTCTGTTGTAGGGAACATGGAAAGCACCTTTGGTGCTAGCTTTTGTTGCAGCTTCCTGCAGCAGCTGATCCCAAGCTGATCCAGTGCTGCAGCTGGCACTGAGCCACTGCAGGGACAGAGTACATATGTGTGGGAAAGCATAGCATCAAAAATCAGCCTTTGCCACTCACTTCCCCAGCTATGCCTGATTGCAGCAGCAAAGGAACAGTTCTCCCTACTGTACAGAACCATCCAGAACAAACCCACAGAGGGTCTGGATAGATTTTGCAGGGAAGAGGGTTATCTAGGGAGTCAAGGCTCAGCCTATAGGCCTAGAACACAGGAGGGGGAGTTGGGCTTAAGGGTCGTAGATGAATTTCAAGTTTTCTCCTGTGGAGAAAGCCTGTGGGCTTTGACTATGACACTAATTAGAAGGCCATCATAGCCCTCCCCTCAGCCTGACGTGCAAAGCAGACTTCTTTTGGTTTCCATCTTCCTTTACTGCTTGCACAGAAATCACACCCTCTGAAAATCATCCTTGTGCCCTTAGAGGCTCTCCCCAGCACACATTTCTCTGTCCCAAGGTGAGGTTACAAATGGCTGCTGTGCAACATATTGCAGTGACTTCCGTAGACAAAGATGTGCAGTCTACAGGCTGGGCCAACATCAGAGGATGCCTGGACCTAGGCATCCTGGCAAACTGTGCAGGCCTCAAGCAAAGACAGAGCAGCTGAAGGCAGGAACTGCCTGTGCCCAGTGGAGCAGAAAATCCAGGACATGTTCCTCCCCACACTAAAAACCTTAGCTCTGCCCAGGAACCCCAGTTCCTGCAGGTCAGGTTGGAAATGCATGTTTCTGTGACAGACTCCAACAATGCCTTCTCATTTTCTTTCTCCAAAGTGGTCCCCAGTGCTGCTACTGTCATCATTGTGGTGTGTGTGGGATTCCTGGCACTCATGGTGATCCTTGGCATCCTGCGCATTCACTCCCTGCACCAGCGAGGAGTGGGGCAGGAGGTCCCTGGGGCTGCTGAAGGAGGGCACACGAGCACCGGAGGCAAAGAGAGTCACATGTTCTGGGACGACTCAGCCCTCACTATCATAGTCAACCCCATGGAGGTGAGGAGCAGCCACAGCGGCTGGGGTTGGGCAGGCAGCTGGGTTGCCACATCCTTCCCCTTACCCTATGTCTCACCTCCCCAGTCCTACCAGAGCTGCCAGGAGAGGGCAGCAGAAAGCAGCGACGGCAGAGCTAGTGAGGGCATGGAGAATGAAGATGACACCACCGACTCGGAGACACCCGACTCCCTCATCAGCAATGAGGTGGATGATCAACACATCATCGCCAAAAGCGACAGCTCACACTGCTACTAGGAGGTTTAAATCACCAGTCCAATGGATCCCCCCAAAACATATGGCTGAAGGAGGAGGTGTCTTACTTTTAACTTCTTCCTCCCTCTACCGTGTACACGTGCTCTTCCCTCATTTGTCATTTCTGCCTCTCATGTTCCTTCATCTTCTGCCACTCTCATTGTGGACATTCCCCACATTATTGACCCCCCTCCCCCCCTGCCCCGACTCTCTAGAAATGTGTTAGAGCACTTGCACATGACAGTGGCACAGTTCAAACTATGATAAGGAAGGAGGGGCTTGAAAAGAACTGAAAAAACTGAAAATTGGGAGGAACCAGCCATAGGGCTCAGAGTGGGGTCTCTCACAACCATTCCCCAGATATTATATATATATATATTGTATATTTTTTCAATGTTGTCATTTGAGGTTTATTCTTGTTTCATGCAAAAAAACCACTGCAGCTTGTGTCGCTTTGTAAAATTGTCGATACTCCTAAACTAAATGAATGAAGGTAAGAAGGATGAGGAAATAATGTGGATTTTAAAATAAATGGATTTCAAATAAAATGTTCAGGGCTTCTGCAGTTTTTCACTACAAGCAGGGAAAGAAACAGTCAGTGTAGCCTCTAATGTGAGACTGGAGATGGTCCAGAGCCTGTATTTACTGAAATTACTGCCTTATCTTACATTTTTTACCGTATGTGTTGGAACAAGAAACACACATCACCCCTGACCCTCTGCCCTTTTGATATTCAAAATACTTTGTAAACACAATGTAGCCTTCCCCAGGACATCAGGCTAGGAACCCACAGAGGAAGAGAAGGCATCCCAGCCCCTTACAAGGCAACTGTAACACATGCAGCCAACTGAATTCTTGACTACAGAAAAAAAATAAGGTTTTTTCCATACACTTAGTGTATCAACAGTGGAAACAGGCCAAATCCTCAGCTTCATCCATCTTTTCACCTGAGGCACTTTCTTTACCAGCATAGAAGAGTATTTTTCACACCAGGAATTCCAACTGGTAGTGGAAAAGCCCCAGCACTTCTGAGGGAAGTAGATGTTCTCCTCTTTCTGTTGGGAATGGAGGGGTTGGAAACACAACAGATATTAGCAAAGCATGGCTATGAGTCTAGTAGCACAAATGTTTAGGGTAGTGCTGCATAGGAGGTTGTGCTTATTCCCTTGATGTACTTGGTCTGATTTACCCTGCAAGAAGAAAAAGAGGCTGCCAGCTGCCTGATATGTCTCGGGACAATGGCTGCAACATGTTAAGGACCCAAAGGAAGATTCTGCAGTAGGACATTTGCTGGCAGCCAAGGTTGAGAAATCCTTGTTAGGGGCAGGAAGGTAGTACAGTGAGTGGAAGAGCCCCTCTGAGGGCATGAAAGGTCTCAGCACAAGATCTCTGCTTGCTGCAGTTTTCTCAGATGTCTCAGCTCTAGCCTGTCTTCATGTCCAACTGTGCCCATGTTTGGTTGTTACGGGGTCCAAAAGAAGTGAACATGCTGAGGCTATCTAAGATACTCTAATGCTTTCTCCTTGGTCTCCTTCCCAGTAAGTTCCATGTCCCTGTTTCATACAGGGAGCTAACAGCAGACACTGCCAAACCAGTGCGCTGACATTTTGCAGCACCAGAGTAATTACAGCCTCCAGAAAGAAGAAAGGCTACATTGTGCACATTGGAGCCAAAAACTTTGCAAAAAATAGTCTTATGTCCCGAGAATGCTATGCCTTACTGAGTTCTGATACACAATGAAAAGCACCACTTCCTGAAGCATGGAAAAAGACCAAGTCTCAGGACCATGAGGTCCCTCTATCTCCACAGCAGCCCCAGCCAGGTGCTACAGTGTGCTTACAAGGTGGAAGAGGCCAAATGTACGATGAGTTCATAGGTAGCCATCATGATAGCTGTGTTTGGGATCTGGCGGATCAAGTGAGCCAGGAGCCCTCGGTATAAAGAAAAGGGTCCCTCTTCATGGACCACAAGCTGCAGAGTCTGTATAAAGGAACAGTATTGTGACCCTTCTTCTTGCAACTGTGTCCGAATGACCTCTGGAGAGACAAGAAGGGAAGTAATATTAGCAGACTGATCCTACAGGCATGGCATCTCACATCGAGGGGAATAGAAGCAGGGAGAGTTGACGCACTCACCATGAGGATATGCAATGCATGAAGCACATGTTTTGGAGACAGCAGCAGCTCCCATTAGTCCAAAGAAATCATGACTGTTTGATGAAAGTGTGAGTGGGAGGGAAAGGGAATGATGGCTGTTTCTCAGCTGTTGTTTCAGTGCTTCATAGATGACAAAGTGTATGATGGTCTCTGACACTCCAGCATAGGAGGCAGTGATACCACGGTAAAATCCACAAAGGCCTTCAGTGTGATACACATGCATGGCACATTGCAAAGCATTGCTGGCCATCTCGCCCTTCACCCTGTGTCACCTGACCTAAAATGCTGTTGTGAACACAACTTTATGACTCTTCCCCAGCATGTCTTGAAGACCTATGTTCTGATGGCAGGTCACAGACACCCACCCAACCCCACCCCCAAACCAGTCCTAACGCGACATGGAGTGGCTCTGCATTGCTCGCCTGCCTTACCTGGCTTCCAGCTGCATTCTGGTTTTCACTAACCAGATAGGGTTGGTGAGTGTGGCAGAGGTAATGCCTGGAAAACAGAAGAGGAAGACAGCTGTGAGCACCAGGATCACACTGACAATTTGAGGAGGTGCTGATCTATCAGCTCTCTGAATTCTGCTTGGCAAGCTGCAGCCATTTGCAATTGGAGAATAACCTTGAGCTCTCCCATGGGAGAAGAGACACTTAGGGAAGACTATTTGAGTCTCTTCCTCCCCCATTCCAGCCTGCGGTGGTAACTAGCTCCTCTGCCTCCAACATAACCCTACTACAGTCCCTGGTGTTACAAAGAGGCACGAAACAACAGGCTAAACTTGCAATAGTGGAAGATTTTGTTAGAGAACTGGGATATATAAGGAGAAGTCATTCTGTGAGTAGTCTAAGTTATACACTGCCCTTCCCCTCTCACAGCTGAATGGAGCTCCTTTCCTGATAGCAGCTGAAGGGGTAAAGACTAGATCCATGACTTGAGATGAGCCTGAGAAGACCAAAGCATGAGAAAACCTTTTGGTTATCCAAGGAACTCACTGCTGCAGGTGGGGAGGGAGAAAACTTCAGAAGAGGGAGCAGGACTAATGGTAGCAGCAATGGGGAAGGGATGAAAGTTGTTTACACTTAAGAGACAGGACCCCTTGGCTCTGATTTGAGACTGAAGAGGCTCACCTGCACAGGCTGCTGATAGCATGTGTACTTTCTTGGACTCTGGCACAAGGACAGCATTGAGCCCCTCCTTAACACCAGAATAGGCAGCAAAATATATAGCCCTGGTTGGAAAGAAATACAGAAGAGGTTACAGCTCACCTGCGAGGGGCAGGGACAGCACTGCAACTTTTCTTACTCCCAGCACAGGTTTGTTGAATGTGACATCAGATACCATCTATACTCAGCCCTGCAGTAATCATCTTATCTTACAAGTATGACCAGAAAGTCCAAAAAGCGCTTGTGTGAAGGTGCCCTGTGGCACAGTGGCCACAAGGCTGAGACTACTTTCAGAATGTGAAGCAATAGCTGTCACAAAGGTCCTTTAAAAAGTGTACAGCACGACCTATCCCCAAGGAGCAGTACTCACTGGGAAGGAGCAACCCCAACAAGGTTTGGACCCAGACCTCAGAACAGGGATCGCATGCCTTCCTTCTCAAGGATGGCCCTACGGAAGGAAAGAAACAGAGAAATCAGCAGAAATAACTAAGTAGGGGGGCTCTCCTGTTCCTCCTCCTCCTTCATTCTTCAGTACTTTTTGTAGCATCCTCTCTTTGCCTCCAGTGTTATCCTTTTTCTGCCCTACTCTCGGCTTCTCTCCAGCCACTTCTCTCCTTCAGTCATTTCTTCCTATTCTTGCTGACACCACTCTGGGTCTGATCAAGCCACTAGCTGAGAAAGTTCTCACAGTCCCAAAAGCTGCCTTGCAGACTTGGACTTCAAAGCACAGATCAACTGTAAGAAGTAGATATACCTGGGCTATGATGAAACTTCTCACTGCACTTGCAGCTTCCAGAGCCTCAGCTCAAATGCTATTCCCATCTCTCTCCCTCCCTCTCTCTCTCTACCTGACAGCCAAACCTTCATGTTCCTGGTGCTAACATGTGCTGCCCTATCCTACTCACCTCAGCAACTTGAGCACTCCAGGAGATGGTGAGGTGGGGTTCATAAGCCTCATCCCCAGCAGCTGCATCTCTGAGAGGCACAGAGGCCGCACTGTCAGTTGGGATGACTGTAGACGTGTCTTCACCACTTCTAGGGGACAGGTCAGGATGGCTCCAGCTGTGCCACCACATCTAGGGCATAACAAGGGCATAACAGCACATGTAAGAATGACCCCTGTGCAGGAACAGGGCAGTAATTCTGACCTGCTTGTCCACAGCCTCTCCCCTCTAGGAGAGGAGGTTAGGTCCTCCAGACGGTGTCACACATGACCTCCTGCTCTGACATTGATTAACATATTAATGGCTTAGCTTGGGACATCTCCTGGCAGCCTCACTCTGAAACCTCACTCAGTATTTGAGACAAACAGTCCCAAGTCCATAGGGACTCAGCAGTCCCTCAGCTCAAAGGTGCTGATCTTTGCATTCAGAATTTCCCAGAGCAAACATTTCTGCTGCCCGACCTCACTGCAATGCCTTCTGCTGAGATCACCAGGCACCACGCCACACACCTCGCAACAGCAGCATTGACTCAGACAGGGGCAGCACAAAACTGTCCCATAACCCATTCATCCCCACGTTGACAAGGCTCTGTAAGCGAGATATGTATTTTCCACCAATAGCTAGGCTTACCCCCCAGCCTGACTTGCTTAATGAAAGAGGACTCTGACCTTCAGCAGACAGAAGCTATTTTTGGAAGGCATGAACCATCACCATCAATCAGTCTAGTCACACCTCTG